TATGTAATATATATATATATTATATGTATGTATATATATATATATATGATATAGTATATATTATATCTATATATGTTATGTATATATATATATATGTATATATATATATATATATATATATATATATATATAACCATTCTTAAATAACAACGTAGTTGATATGATGACAATACTCACTCTGGTATTTTCCAGTATCGAGAATCATTTCCCCAAATAATGTTGAGTCCTCTGGGAAGTATTACGAACTTGTCGCCATCCTGCACATTGTTATTAGTTAAATATCTTATTTATATATATATATATATATATATATATATATATATAACCATTCTTAAATAACAACGTAGTTGATATGATGACAATACTCACTCTGGTATTTTCCAGTATCGAGAATCATTTCCCCAAATAATGTTGAGTCCTCTGGGAAGTATTACGAACTTGTCGCCATCCTGCACATTGTTATTAGTTAAATATCTTTATTACATATATCAAATATTTATTTTTTTTCTTATATTTCTCATCTTATCATTATATATATTTTATAGATTTATAATCTTTTGTTTTCTCTAAGTATATCTCAAGTGTTCATGGATATTGTAGATGTGCATGAATAATTTTTATATAGTTAGAAACTTGAATATTAGACCTGTAAAAAAATAGTCACAATCCACGGGCTAATTTGGCCCACCACGGATTTGAGTCGGGTTGTGTTTGAAAAAATTGTATTTTTTATGCGGGTCAGATTCCAACTCGGCTCATTTAAACCCGTCTTATGCGGATTAAACCCGTGGTGGGTCGGGTTGGCCCATCAACCCACCTACCTAATTTTATTATATTAAAATTTAATTTTAATTTTATAAAAAAATATTTATTATTTTGTTTTTACTTGAAAGTTTTATTTAAGTTTCTTATTTTCAAAATTAATTAAACATGTGAAATTTAGGAATGAAATTGGTTTAGATTTAAATTATAGAAAATTTGTAATTCTTTTTATTTAAAAAGAAATTGTAATTAAGTGAGCCAGTAAACCAATCCGTCCGTGGTAGGTCGGATCAGGTTCGAATTTTTCAAGCTCGCTAATAAATAAGTCGGGTTAAATTGTTCACTAAATAACCAATTCGTGGTGGATCAGGCCGAATCAGGCCAGGTCCGGCCGAATAGCCCGTTTTCACAGTCATATTGAATATTGATTTCAGGTTTATGTATCAAATGAGTGTCTGTTTTTGGTACGAGGAAAACAGTTAATTTTAATTTTGTATACGAAAATTGATTTCAGTTTCAGTACTTGCATTAAAATATAAAAATATTCCTTTTGTGTTTTATAAAAAAATTGAAAGTAGAAAATAATATAGCAATATCATGGTTTACCTTTATAACTCAAGGAAAAAAACCGGTCTGAGTATCACTAAAAACTTTTAGGCACACAAATAAAAGAAAAAAATACTAAACAAATTTTTATATAACAAAAAATAATAGTTTTGTAAATAAAAAAATGTTTTCTGAAAGAAATTACACTAAAGAGAATTAGAGAAATTTCTTAGATTAATTATTGATATAGTTGATAGATAATAGCCCCTTCCCATAACTAGTTATTTGCATTCGATTATGACATATTGTTCCTTCTATCAGAAAATATAAGTAGCAAGAAAAACTATTTTCTTAACAAACTGATTTACTATTGTACACATAAATTCTTGTTCCAAAAAACATTTCATGTTGCTCATCCTAAATTTTTAGTTTGTGAGTATATATATATATATATATATTTTGGGTCTATAGAGAAGAGATTCACTAGCAGACTCAACATCAATAAAATATTAATCTAATTATATAAAAAATTGACACCAATTTCAATATAAGAAACATATTAACAAATCTTATATTTATATAATACTTTACTTCATCATTTCACAATTTTAATTCTACCAATATATATATATATATATATATATGACTGGAAAAGAAAACATATATACTTGCCTTTGTTATGTAGTTCTCGTCAGAGGTGTGATGAGGCTTCTTGAAAGGCATTGTAGAAAATCTGCAAAAAAAAAAGTTATTTGTTATGGATAGTTTCTGTGAGCGAAGAAGAAGTGAGGGAGTTTATATAGATAAGAAGGAAGAGAAAGAGAATAAATTAATATTATAGAAATTGAAGAGAAGAAGAATAAAGTTGAATTCGATGGAGAAAAAAAGGAAGGAATAATAGAACAAGTTGAACACAAGAAAGAAAATGGCATCAACTTTTTAAAAGAGCCTATCAATAATACTTTTTTTCGAATAAAAGAATAATAACCGTCTACGTACGATGCATCATAATCACTTTTTATTTATTTATTTACACTAATCACCTAAATAACTTTCAATTAAGAATATAATCTTTTTGAAGTTTTTATAAATTTAAAGTAACATTACAAAATTATTTTCAATCGTATGGAAAATTGAGCACTCAGGGAATCTTCAATAACTTTTATTTATACTTTTCATTCAATAGGAGTGTGAAAACTTTTAAGCATATAAAGTATATAAGAATAAAACTGACATTCTGTATTAATTATTTTTTTTACAGTTTTCACAAAGATTCTTTTGATGTGTAGGAAAGCATTTCATAAATCATCATTTATTCATATATCTCACCTTGCATTATCCAACGACACAAACTATAAACTGCAAAATTTTAAAACACAATTCAATATTCTAATTTTTTATATTTATTGTTTTTCATAAACTTTCATGTTCAAGTTTGTCTATGTTCACTTAGATATGTAAATATGTACTAAACGTATTTTATGCAATATTAAATAATTCATAATTTATTGTCAAAAACACTTCATTTGTAAAGAATCATGATGTTTTGTGTATATAAATAATGGGTATGGTAATCCGTCCATTTGGTTAATAATAATTAATAAGTATTGAATTTTACAAAATTTTATAGTTAGTTGTGATATTAGAGATGAATTATGATTTCAATAACAATTAAAATTATTTTATTTTATTTAGAAGATAAAAATGTTCATAAATATTATACTGATAGATAAAACATATTGAAACAAAAATATATTATTTATAAATATTAAAACAAATGTTAATAACATGGATAAAATTGTTAATACTTTTTTTTAAAACTATGTAAATATTAGATGATATGGTGTTTCTTATTTACAAAATGTCATATTATATTAACATACATTAATATCTTTATTAAATTAACAAATATCTTATTATTAGAAGATATTTCATCAAACATTTGATTATTTAAAAAATTAATCTTAAAAAGTGCATTACAATCAATAATCATTAATTAGTGGAGTTAATTATTTCAAATTTTACTAGTAGTAAAATCAATGATCATTAATTACCTTAAACAACATCTTTAGGGGACTGTTTAGCATTCTCTATAAATTATATCATTATACGCTTAAAACATATTCATATTTTATAATTTGTTGTTAAAAAACACACTCAGAGGGTTAGACTTTACTCTAACAAATGTCCTTCAAAAGAAAACACAAGTTCAAGATGAAGCTTATAACAAGAGATAAATTCAATTTTATTTCAATAAAAATTCTAATACAACAAACCAATTTTCGTACCATTATTTTTAAAACATTAGTGTTTTAAATACTATAATGGACATTTAATATAAACGGTACTTTTAACATTTATCTAAAACAAAACTGTTTAGAATTTCTCGTCAAAATAAAAAACATGAATTTATATGAAAAATAGAGTTCGGCCTCGAAGCCATACTGCTTTAAACTCAGAGAGAGTTTAACCATGAGGTCAAATTACTTTAAAGCTTAGATAAAGCTCAATCATGAGACCATAATTATTTTGAAGCTTAGATAAGAACTCAATCACAAGGGCAAAATTACTTTGAAATCCAATTAAGAGCTTGGTCATGTGGCCGAAATTGCTTTAAATCCTAAAGAAAGCTTGACCCCGATGTTAGATTGTATATTAGAACTCAACCCTAAGACCAATCCACCTATAAAGCATGATTGAATGACCTAATTATATCATGAACTCGGCCTCGAGGCCAATCCACCTACAAAACATGATCGAATAGCCTAACTATGAACTCGACCGAATAGCCAACCCGTTTGCAAGTCATGCAAGTCAACCCAAACCAAACTTCTGAAACTAGGAGGCTTATGTTTCTATCCAACCCAGAAGGCATATTAAGTACACAACCCAATAAAGTTATTTAGAGCTTTTTCCGAACCTATAACTCTTGAGTCATATTTACATATTATAATTAAATTTCAGTAGTTTGACATGTTAGTTATTATTTATCCTTATGTTATTATTATTACACTATTATTATACTTCTTAGATAAATATTATTCTAATAAGAACATAAGTCCATAACCCATGTTGATGCAATAAATACAAAAGTAACTCTCAAGATATACTTTTACTTCACATTTAAGATGATTACTCTCATATAATAGACCCTAACTCTGACTTGTGCATCAAAAAGTTTTTAAGGTGAATATTTCCCTCTCATTAACAAGGAAACCTTGTTCAAAGAGAATAAACAATAAAAAAACATCATTAGGATTTTGTGGCTTGTTAAACAAAACCACACTCCTCAAGATCCGAATAGATCATATTGTATTTCAATTTTTTGGTATTTCAATTTTTTGGAATTATATGAATGAGTTATCACTGAAAGTTAAGGAATATGCAAGCATGTGTGGTTGTATTTGAGCGTATAAATATATTCGGGAATGTAATTCAAAGTTGTTGGTGTCTTAGTTTTGGAAAATACGATTATCATTTTTGAAATTAGATATTGAATAAGCTACTTTTCAGACGCTATCCAAAAGTTTCGAGTAGTGGGATTATTTCAAGGATAAATATGTATCATTCCTCATCATCATCATCTTCGTCATTATAATATCAGAGTTTTCATACATATTCACCTCTCTTTGCAATTTTAAACGACTCGATTATTGTTTGAAAATTCATGTTCAACTCAAATCACTCTCACACCGTTCTTCCCTTTTATTTAATTCCAACAAACGTCAATGTTTTTCTTTTTATTTCTGATGTAGGTCTTCCATAATTTTGTATGTCAGCTTTTCTTTTTCAATTTTTACAGTGGGTAGGTTTCATTTTGAAAGCGCACTTTTTTTTTCTCTTTTCCATTATATTTTGGAGGGTTCAACAAATATAATAGTGAACACTTTTCTTTATCACCTTTAAATATTACATTTTTCGTAAGTAGTAAACTGTTTGATAAGGAGAACAATATTTAAAGATTTATAATATAATGGACTAGTAAACTTCTTTATCTAAAGATATTCCTCTTTTTGTTGTTTACATTATTTTTTGTTCAATGTTATCCTTTAAATGACTGTTTTATAATTATCTACGATCAAATTGTAAAAGTTATTTATATTTATTTTTATAATTATAATTTTGTTATGCTTTATTATTATAAAAAAAAGGTAAACACATGCATATATAATAGCGATAGGACTTTGTGTACAAGTAGTAATGAAAACGTAAAAGCGTCATAATAGTAGTGGGTTTAAACAGTAAAACGATAAATGGATGTTATCATAGAAATTACTGTTTTGTGTTTGACGAAAAATACAAAGAACAAAAGTCTATGGCGGTTACAGTGAACAAAAGCAATTATTGGTACCTTAAACGTCTGCCCTGTAGTTCTCCGGTTTATACCACAATGAAAAATCAATTCCCTTGTTTTTCAATTTCTCTGTTGCAGGTCCAATTCTGTTCAAAAGCTGTGGAGCAGGCACAAAAAATTGTATTTTCATTTGCGTTAGCAACACTCTATAAAATTCGTTCACTTCATTCTTGTTATTTATATTCTATGCAAACAAATCCAAAATTAAGTGTAAGAAAACTAATAATTGTGAAACTAGAAGGGACTTAAATATTATGGGATGCCTAAATCTTAGATCAATTTGTATGAGATGTTAGCTTACTTATTTAGTTACAAGCTGTTAATAGTTATAGTTCTTGTTAAATGTACCGGTCTATTATATTAATCTTTGGCTTTTGGCTTAAGGGGCATGATTATATTGACCATCTTACCTAGAAAGCAGCCTCAATTAATCAAAAAGATTGTCTTTGATGATCAAAAGCTAATGTCTAAGTCTGTATATTCTTAAGTCAACTATTTACCATTTTCTGAAGCATATTTTTCGCACCCATGACACCTTTGTTGGGATTTGGGAGCAAGTATGGTTACTATGCACCAATAATACTCAACCCCTCAATGGTGTTCGCCAAAATCTTCTGAGCATCACTGTCCCTCAACGCCTTGATAGTCCCATGGTTGAAAACATGCGCAAGGTTCATGCTATTCTCTTCAATGAACTATTCGCTCATGTTGTCACTCCTGCCTAGAAACCTAGAGCAATGTCAGACCTTCTTTACGTTGATGGCATTGTATGGATTATTCAATGGGTATTAATCAATTTGTGATCAGATTTTGAGCTCTCCAACTGTGCCCACATTGAACTCAACTTGGTCCACTATACTGCATGTGCAATGCAAGTTATCACTTGTCATATTTTGCTAAGAGTATTGTTGAACGATCTTTGTTTCATTTTGCTTTAGTTCACTCATATTTGAGGACTGAGTGATGTTAGGTCTACTTTAGGGTTTCAGTGTTTTGTAACTTTCATTAATGATTATTTCACTATTTGCCTCCAAACCCACCACCTATGTCTACTATCTGAGTTTATCATCGTCGTTAGCATTTTACACCTTTTTGATAGGCCAACTTCTAACTCTACTTTGATGCCACCTCCTTTGTCCCCTCTTCTCGTGTTTGATCACCCTTTTACATTTTCTAAAACTACATGCTCCATACGTAATGTTTCCACTCATTATGTCACTTTGGTTTATCTTAGGTTGTCTTCATCTCATTATATTTGTTTTTCTTCCCTTTTCTCCGTGTCAATTCATAAAACTACAAGTGATGCCTTAACCCACCCGGATTGGAGACAAGTCACGCTCGATGAACTATGTGTTTTTCAAAACAGTAAGAATTGGGATCTTGTTCTTCAACCTTCTGAGAAATTTGTCGTTGGTTGTCAATGGGTCTTCATAATCAAAGTTGGCTTTACTCGCACTATTGATAGGCTAAAAACATATTTGGTGGCCAAAGGTTCCAATAAGATCTTTGATCCAGATTATGGTGACACCTTTTCTTTGATTGCCAAGATGTCCTTGTTAGATTATTTTTTACTACTCTTCAACATTGTTCCCTCTATTAGCTGGATGTAAAAAATGTGTTCCTACATGGGGATTTCACACGGTATTTCGTCTCAACAAATCTTTATATGGTCTTAAACAGTGTCTCATGGCATGATTTGAAAGATTTAGTGCAGTAATCCAATAATTTGGTATGACTTAAAGTGAGATTAATCATTTTGTGTTTTATCATCGTTTAGGGGTTGAATGTATATACCTATAATGACATTGTTCTTACATATAATTACATATAATGATTATCATCGCATTTGTCATCATTTTTAGACAACTTTGACAAACTTAGATATTTCTTTGGAATTGAGGTGACACAACCTAACAATAGAATTGTATTTTTTTAAAAGAAGTACGCTTTGGATATTTTAGAGGAATTGGACAAATAAATTCCAAGCCCCTTAACACACCTACATATCCTAATGTTTAACTTCTACCAAGCTAAGGGAAACCATTTAAAACCTTGTGAGATACAGGATATTAATTGGAAAGTTGAATCACCTCAGTCACTTGCCTTGACATGTCTTTGATGGTCAATGTGGTAAGTCAGTTTCTATATTCTCCATGTGCATAACATAAGAATGTTGTCATTCACATTCATTGAAGAAACCCTAAAATATTGTCTTTATTGGTGACAACTTGATATCTTGAAAAGGCAAAAGGTAAATGTAGTGGCAAGATCTAGTATAGAAGTAGAGTATAAAGCTATGACTTTTTGCCACCTGTGAACTTATTTGGCTCAAACAACTTCTTAAAGAATTGAGATTTGGAGAGGTTATACAAATGTCTCTCATTTGTGATAACTAAGCTACCCTTTATATAGCCTCAAATCTAGTATTTCAAGAGAGGACCAAACATATTGAGTAGATCATCACTTCATCCGTGAAAAATTTGTATATGGAGACATTACTACTCAATTTGTTAATTTCATTGATCAATGGGAAAATTTCTTCACCAAATCATTGCAAGATCTTGAAATTGACTATATTTGTAACAAGTTCGGAACATATTATATACACCATGTTGAGGGAGAGTGCTAAATGTATTTTTAACATATGGACCTAGGCCTATCTCCACGTATTGCTTTGTACCATCTACATATATAATATGGCCTTTGGTTGTGATCATATACAAGGATTCGTCCATATGAATATCCATCCAATATTCTCACATTTGTTACTCTGTTGGGAGCTTACGTAGCCATCTCTTTGTATTCTGAAAATATATTCAATAGAATTCAGTTCTTTCTCTTTCATTCATGTATGTGTTCTTTTTCATCTTATTTCAAATATGATACCAAAGATTTATAAGGAAAGCTATGCTCATCAAGTTAACAACTTTCACGACATATAGTATATACCATCAACTGTTCTTCGTTCTCTTGGATTTGCCAATAGCAAGTGTGATCCATCCTTTACCATTCTTGCAACAGGGTCCTCATTAGGTCATTATACTTGTATATGTAGAGGATATCATCATCACTAGTGACTCTATCCTTGATTCAAAATATGATTGAGTGATGATTCTCTCTATCCTTGATACAAAATATCAGTTTGCTCTCAAACAAATAGGAAATCTGGATAATTTTTCACGAAATTGAGGTTCATCAGCCAAAGAATATTCGTGACTTGCTTTCAAAAGCAAAAATGTCTAACGCTCAAATTCCCAAGCATGGTGCAAATAATTTCTTTGATCCCTCAATTTATTGTTGTATGGTTAGGTGCTCTTCAATGTGCAACAATTACTAGACCAAAAATTTGATATCTTCTTTTTTAAGCAAATATATGCCAAAAACATCATCGTGTAACTAGCAATTCCAAGTAGGTTGACACCAAGTTATCTCAATCATTTGTAACATAACAAAATATCTTTAAAACTAAAAATAAAATACAGAAGAGAATGGGGACTACCCAAAACACACTCAAAAAATAAACCTATAACTAGGTGCATTCCATCTATTCCTATAGAAATTAAACGTAATAAAATGTGGAATAAGATCCCACACATAGTACATCTATTTCTAATCCCAAAAGAAACAAGTTTCCCAGCACAATCGTTCCCTCAATATATATATGACATACATGAGATCTCATTCTGAAGCATACAACATATTCTGACACCAATTTTGAAGATGCCAAGGAACAATGTGATGATTATAGAAAGCTTGAACCACCAACTCAGAATCACAATCAATCCATGGACTATGCCATCCTATCCCAACCATAATTTGAAGAACTCAGATGGCATCAACAAGCTTTGCATAAATAGTTTTGTACAATGTCGGAGATCTCAGTGACTAAGGTTGAGTTAGATAGAAAGTCCACTTTACAACTATACAAGGAAATAAAAAATAATTTTATTCATAACAATCACACCACCTACATGTGTAATTGCAGACAGACAGACCATGAGATAAATAGGCTGTAGCATGCAGGTGGATTTATAAAGTAAAGTTTCAACTTGATGGCACATCGGATCATTACAAAGAGAGATTAGTTGCTAAAGGGTATACTCAAACCTATGGTATTGACAGAGGAGACATTTGCCTCAGTGATGAATACTTTCATAATCATGATCTAATTAGCAGCTTATTTTGGTATGAAAAATACTTTCTTGCATGGACAACAAAAGGAAGAAGTCTTCATGGAGATTGTTGTAAATAGAAAATAATTGGAATAAAAATATCATATGTATCTCCTTACTGATTAGGAAATATATTTACAACCTTCCTATTCATTTCAAGATATTTGTAGTTCCTTATTTTAAAGAACTTGATTATTAACAATAGAAATTATCAGAATGTTATATAAGGAACCTTTAGCTGAACTAAGCTCCGTCACTTTAAGTCAACATTTGATAAACCACGCATAGGGATGTGAAACTAACATGAAAGTAAAAATAGATTGTGTTAGGACGTGGAGGGTTTATGAAAGGCGAAAGAAAGTAGAGAAATAAGGATGAGTACTTAACTGTTGAACAGTTAAGGGGAGCGGGAAAAGATCTATATAAAGGACCTCTTTTGTAGTTTCAGTTAGTTAGTTACCACGTACATTGTATAGACCGGTGTTGAACCTGGTGAGGGAGGTTAAGCTCCCGGATACTGGATTGTATTCTTGATTTTTTTGTTGTGAATACAATACGTTTCTTTACTCATTCTTGTGTGTGCCTTTGGGGAAGTGTGTTAGAGAGTAAGAGTGTTAGGTTTCTAACCCAGTTTCCTAATAGATTGCTTGTTATAAACATGTCTTTAAATGGTGATGAAACTTGGAGATATTCATGTGTAAGGACAACCGGTGCATCCTATTCAATAAGTGCAACATAATTGTCTGCCATAAAGCAGAATCGGAAAAGACTAACCTCTGTATGGAGCAGGCCATTTGAAACCAAAACAGATCTATCAAAAACACAAAATTTTCCTCCATCCATGCGAGAAACTGTGCCACCAGCTTCTTCAACCATCTGAGTACACAATATTCTCATAATTAAATGATTCTGTTAAGAAAGTGAAGTGATAAAACTGAATCCATTCAAGGGATTACTAGTAAATAAAAAATTATATACTGAAATAGGGAGGTAAAGGAAACAGCATTCAATTAATCCTATAAATTTAATACAACTGTTAATTCCTCTCATTTTGTGTGATTCTTATGCTCGAAGTTAGCACACAAACTGCCATCAGTACCATGTTTAAGAAAGGTCTGAGAAAGGATGTGTGACAATTGCTAAGTTTTTTTACAATAGTGCTATACCTTTCAATGTGAAAAAGAGAGAGGAATTCAATGCTAATATATGGAGGAAGTAACACATACATCACTTGCTTTACAAGTACATAAGAAAACAAGTGGTTAGGAAATATATTTACAACCTTCCTAGTGAATAAACTTCCTAGTGAATAACACAAAAAGGAATCATGTTTTTGAACTCCATTGATGCATTTGCAATTTCGAAACAGCTTAAAAAGTTTTTGAGATGATAAATACAATTGTAGAATAGCTAGGGGATAATACAACAAACTATAAAGTTGCTAGTCAAATGTTCATGGCGAAGTGGAAAAGGCTATTTTGGACATTTTGTGTTGCACAATGTTAACTTAATGTTGGAGGATTATGAGGAGAACATCCCAATTCATGAGATGACAATTCAAAAAGATAAAATAATTACAACCTTTATCTATTCAAGAACTTCTCTAATTTCTCTACTACAACATTTCACAAAAGGAGGAGATTTGGTGAGGATGAGTATTACTCACTTTGCATCATCTTACTTGACATTAGGGTTTCATCATGAGAACAAGAGAGTTTTAATTAAAATATTAATTAGTAATGAATGGAAGTCTAGTAGGTTACCAAAACAAAGCATGGAAAAATAATTGAAGATGTGGTTTTGGATAAGGATTTTTGGAGGAATACCATAATTTGTTTAAAGGATGCAATAAGTTCCTTGAGTGGTTGATTTGGATAAAAAACTAGCCATGAGGTTCATTTGTGAAGCAATGAAAAAAGCTAAAGAGAAGACACAAAAGGCTTTTAATGCTGTCAAAAAAGATCATGAATACACATGGATAGGACATGATAAAGACCAAGAATGAGGCTTGAGGCTAGGATAGAAATCTTATATGTTTTGTAATTTTTTGTAAAATGGTCCAGCAATGGTTGTTTTCCTTTCTCTCAAGTGTTTATACTCTTTTTGGTGTTTTCTCTAACCACAGGTGTTGTTCCAACTAGGTTTCCACAACACCTAAGATGATAACTTAGAAAGATGTGAGTTCTCCAAGAAACATCGGTTAACCAAATCACTTCCAATCAAGAATATGAGGAATGAAAATAAAGGAAAACTCAATTAGAACTGATCAACTCCAAAGAGAAGAGAGATGATGACAATACTTCAAAGAATTCCAAGAAAAAGACAAACTAGAATTAAAGGCAAATTTTAGAAACTAGCACACAAAATGAAGTCCAAAGGGATGGTTCTAAATTTCATTAACAAAAGAAAATGAAAGTTGAATCAAAGAACAAAACACAACACAAATTGCAAATTCAATTTGAAATTAAACAAATTTTAAACTCTAAAGTGCTTGCCACTAGACACGAAGTCAAGCCAAAGGATTAACTAAGTGTGAAGGTTTGTATCAAAGAGTATTGTTTTGCTTTCAGTTGCTTGTTTTTCTTTTTCTTTGCATCTTATATGTCTCAGTTCTTTCTATTTCTTTCCTTCTTTGATTTGTTTTTCTTTCTTTTTGTTTGTGAGACCATGGTTTGTTTTTCTCAATTTTAACTCAAGAAGCAACTCATTGTTTTACTAATTGCATTCCAAAATCAACAAAGCAATAGTGATTTTTCATGTTCTAAGCAAAAAGATTGAACAATGTTTATCGAAATAGAATGGAATTGTTTCCACAGTTTCCACCAAAGGATAAAACATATAGAAAATATAGAAGAGATCAAAGATGAAGAAACCACAATTTAACTTAATTGATAAGTTTGAGACGCCACAATCAAGAGAAATTGATAAGTCAAAGAAAGAAGATTAGTCACTTTGAATAAAAATCAAAATTTCATTTTAAGAACCTAGAGAGAATTTCTCACTCAAGAAATGATTCAACTTCCAACATGAGCAATTATGAGTACAAGAGCTTACAAAATGTCTTTTACACTATGGACCTTGTATTCCTAGGCACAATCACTAATGAGGCCTATCCAACAAGCCTCTTAATAAAAACTAATGTCTAAAAAGTCTCTAATTACAAATAATTTGTAAGGCCCAATACAAGTCCCATACAAAAAATTACAAAACATACAAGATTTCTATCCTAGCCTCAAGCCTGCTTGGCCTTTTATCATAGCCTATCCATGTACTCATCAAAAGGTATATGATCTAATTGTCTATATATTTATTTATTTATTTTATGGGTTTTAAAACTGAAAACAAAAACTAACTCAATGTAATATATTTTGGTTTATTATTTTCCTTTGTGGGATGAAAGGTGAAACACGAAACTTCATAGGCCTTGGCATGTTGCGGACTATTTCATTAACTCTCAAATGCATTATTGTCCTAGATTTAAAGGTGATTTGGAACTTCAACAAGGTCTAACAGAATCTCTAACAAGCACGATGAAGAATAAGGATCAACAAACTTTGGGATACAATGTGGATATGTCCATGGACACTCTGAAGTTTGAAAACATTACACATTACCTTATATATACATCTTGAGCCTGTTCTTACCAAAGTTTTTGTGAGAAAGATTTCCTAAACCACTATTTGACTGATTGTCCTAATAACCACAGAAATAATTCTTCAAGAAAAATTACTCTTTCCATGAAAACCAAAACATGATTTAATCTCAAAGATGCAAGGCTTACTAACTTGTCAGAATAACTTTCTATGATATAAAACTTGAAGAGCATACCAAAACACCAGCAGCCATATCCCATGGCTTTAGACGATATTCCCAATAAGCTTCTACAATTCCTAATGCTACATGACACATGTCCACAGCAGCTGCACCAAGCCGTCTTACACCCTGAATATCAAAGTCAAGAAATTGAAGTGGAATGCAGAGAAATGAGGTGCAGTTCAATAGATTTCAGATGGATACCCTGCTGACATCTGTAAATTCTTTGAATAAGTCAATGTTAGTAGCCCATGCATCATCATGATCATACCCAAAGCCTGTCACTAGAAGAGATTTTTCCACCTAAGACAAGGGGAGAAGATTAGTTATACAACAATCATGAAGCACCATACAAATAGTATTTCAGATTGTTCCATTAAGGGTTGAAATCACGTTGACCCATGATCGTTGTTCACTTTCCGTATTCAACATCATTTTTTCATTAATCACCTGATTAGTTGCGCTCACTTGAATCCTTTGGCCATTACAAAATGCTCCACCACCTAGAAGAAAACTATATCAGCAGAAAAAATTAAAACCATCGAAAAAAACTAGCATAATCCTTTCTGTTGAAAATATGTCAGAAATTAGTAAATAAAATATATTGTAATAAATATAGAATATAGGCACATTATCTTTAATTTAGAGGAAACAGTATATCCTCCATTTATGTATTTATTTCTATATATCTATCCTACAGTTATCAGACATAAGGTTTCACTCTGTCTCTTTTCTTTACTCTTAATAAAAAATAAAAGTATTAAACTTGATTTTTATTAAAGGACTGATGGAAGTTAGGAAAATTCTTCACCTGCAGTTGCAGAGAAGAGGCGAGTATTCCAACACATTGGACCTCCTACAAACTCAACCTGAAAACAAAAAACCATCACGAGTTGGCATATCTTCTCTTATCCAATATTGTTAAACTCGAGTTTAGCTACTTGCCGAGTTTTCTTGAACTCGACTTATAAGCTTCACTCAAACACATAAGAGTTTACTTTATAAAAAGTGATAATAATGTTAAGGTATAGACGTATAAGACACAAGTCTTAATCCTAATATCAAGCCTAGAACACTCATGTTTTGATAATAACAAATAAGTGTTTAAAAATTAACTTGAGTGTGAAAATAGGTATTAAAAATAGTCTAGACAAGCATGAGATGCTCGGTTACAAAGCATAGATGAAGAGCTTGAATTATGAACAAAACTGCTAGATGCAAGTCAAGACAAGATAGTCTTCATTCCAAGACACTACAAAAAGCTAAAACACAGTCCCTATGTCTAAGACTCAACATGCTCAAAGTGCTAGACGAGCAACATTGGATGAAGACTTTTGAGACATAAGATGAAGACAACAACTAGACACGATCAACAAAGTCTAAGTGAAGTGCAATTGCTTTGAACCTTGGATGCATCTTACACGTTTTCAACATAAGACACGTTACAAAATGCATGTCTAAGAGTTGTAAAAATGGTGAACCAACCTTTAGGGTTACAGATTAAGGCGGGTGCCTTGCCCTTTCTTGGAATTCTATAAATACCTAAGTAAAAGGATAAGTGTAAGGATAACATACATTGTTTTACTTAATTACATTTATTCAAGTTGGTATAAAGAGCTAGACCGTCTGTCATCAACACCATCATCCTTTGTCGTTTCTGTCCACCAACAATGTCCACAGTCGTATCTCCTCCGGCGAAGTCAAGGTTAGGTGTGCCTCGAGAAGTGCAACCCATCCCCAGTAGTCTCCGCCTCAAATTATGTTAGATGCGCCGCCATGCGCTAGCCAGGTTGAGGAGCGTATCCGCCACACATCGCCTTCCCGGTGCCAGAATCACACCAAATCGTTGTCGTTCGTCTTGGCGAAGCCTCTTGGACGTGTTTTTGTCCTTGTCCTTCTCTTTCGGTGGTCGTAGCTCTCACCTAGGGTTTCCCTCTCAAAGCTAGGGTTTTTTAGAATGGCTTCCTCTCTATCTACTACTCCTACTATTATCACTGCAAAGCTCAACTAGTCAAGGATACCAAAAATCGTCTAGAACAAGATGTCTCTACTATTCCAAATGAAGATAAATCTCAGCAACAGAAACCGAACTTTAAGTTATGTACTATTTTATGGCAATCTGTTGAGAAAAATGTCTTAGAAGTTTTGAAACCTTACAAGACATGCTTGTCTTTATGGAAAAGGGCATAAAACATTTTTTCTAATGACATACAACATCTCTCTGATGCAACTCAAAGAGTAGCCCCACTAAAAAAAAAACTTGATAAGTTTTACATGGTCCTAACTCTGAGAAGCCTAAACTCGGATTTTGATCATGTACGTGACCAAGTTTTAGCTAGTGATCAAATCCCTTCAATCGACAACTTAGATACTAGACTTCTTTGGGTGCCTACATTATTAAAAGATGAAAATTTAACTAATGTTATTGAAACATATGCAATGATAGCACCACGAGTAAGAGGAGGAGGTCATAGGAACTGAGGAGGACGTGGTGGTCAAAGTGGGCGTCCTTAATGCTCATATTGTTAAAGAATGAGTCATACCCAAAAAAATGTTATTCTTGGCATGGTTTTCTAAATAAAGTTGCTCATGTGTCTAAATCTAACAATTCAGAATCTAGAAATTTTGATGAAGAGTAGCAATAATGTTTGAGGTATAAGTCTGAAAACTCTACCAATCTTGGCCAATCCTCTTTAATGTCAAATGTGCCAACTACATGCATCTCTCAATCCGTGAAAGGTCATAGTCTATGGATTTTTTTATTCAGGTTCCTCAAACCATGTTTCTAGTAACATTTCTTCATTTTTCTCCATTTCCTCTCTAAAAATTCCTCCTTTTATTACTGTTGCCAATCGATCCAAAGTGGCATCTCAAGGAATTGGCAAAGTCTTTACATCCTTCACTAAATTTAAATTCTATTTTGTACATTCCTCATGATCCTTACAATTTAATCTCTTTGAGCCAATTGCTTCTTCCTTAAACTATTTTGTAACCTTTACTGTTAATTCCTTTGCTATACAGGAACATAGTATGAGTCGTCTGATTGGAGAAGGACATGAGTAACAAGGACTTAATTTCCCAAAACTAAGCTCCTCATTATTTTGTTTTGCAACTTCATCCCTAAAACTTTTGCATGACCATTTGGGCCAAGCAAGTTTGACTAAGTTGAAGATGATGGTTACATACAAGTCTCAAATACATTCAAGCCTTAGATTGTGAGTCTTGTCAGTTAGGAAAGCATGTTAGATCTTCCTTTGCTAAAAAGTTTGAGAAACAATGTAATTCTATTTTTTCTACTATTCATTCTGATATTTAGAGACCACGTCGTGTCATTTCTTTGCTTTTAATTATTTTATAAGCCTGGTTGATGAATTCTCTCGATGTACTCAAGGTTTATTTAGTGAAAGAGAGATTTGAACTTTTATCCAAATTGATGTCTTTTTTTAATGAAATTAAGATCCAATTTGGGAAGACAATTAAAATGCTCTGAAGTGATAATGCTATGGAATATTTTTCTGCTGCGTTTTCTTCATTCTTATCTTTCTAAGGAATTTTACACCAGTCAACATGTCCTCATACTCCACAACAAAATGGCATAAAGAGAAAGAATATACATCTTATTGAAACTACATGCTCACTAATGTTGAATACTAATGTTCTTGTTCATCACTGGGGAGATGCAGTCCTCACTACCTATTTTCTAATCAATAGGACACCTTCTCTTGAAAATAAAGTTCCTCACTTTATAATTTGTTCAAATGATCTTTATACCATGTCTCTCCATGTGTGTTTGGGTGTACTTGTTTTGTTCATAATGTCTCTCCGGGTCTGACAAGCTTTATGCAAAGGCTATTAAGTGTGTCTTTTTGGGATATTCTCATCTTCAAAAAGCATATAAATGTTATTCTCCCTCAACCACAAAATATTGTGTTCCTTGGAGTGAACATTGTATCCTAGGAAAGTAAGAAACAAATTGTTGTTGCTCGATCTAGTGTAGAAGTTGAATATCAATCTATGGCCCTAGCTACATGTGAACTTGGGTGGAATAAACAACTCCTTCAGGAGTTGAAATTTTGTGAAAATGAGCAGATGAAATTGTATTGTGACAACCAACTAAGCTCTTTGTATTGTCTTTAATCCGGTGTATCATGAAAGAACATAACATCTAGAGATTGGTTGTCATTTTGTTAGAGAAAAGTTGTTGCCCAAGAGTCTTACTACTGAGTTTGTCAACTCTAATGAATAACTCACAGACATTCTAACTAAATCTCTAAAGGAACCTAAAATTCAATTTATATGTTCTAAGCTTGGTGTATATGATCTATATACTCCAACTTGAGGGGAGTGTTGAAATGTAATGTTTTTATTTATTATTTTTCTAGTATGTGAACCCAACTTTGGGGTTAGGGTTTTAGGCAAGTGCCTTGCCTCTTCTTTGTATCCTATAAATACATCAATAAAAGTCTAGCAGTGTAAGTTGAATACATTGTATTTTTCCCATCTCATTTATCTAAGTGCCATGTCAAACGATCTTCCGTTTTGCTCACATAGATAAAACCAATGAATTGTGGGTCTATTTATGCTAAGCTTTGCCAACTTCACCTTCACATCTTTCATTGCATTCTTTGTAATTCCCTGTAAGTGACAACTCTCATCACCTACCCTACTTGGTTGATTCCATCAAATAGGGGAGCTCGACCCTTCTTGCTACCATCAATATTCTTCTATGTCGACACTTAATGAACCTCCTTCTTGTGATAACTACCTTTCCAACCATTGCTTCACTCATTGATCATTTCTAAGAATAGAGATTGTGGGAATTCTGCAATCAAGAGTTTAATTGAATCTGCCAATGCAATAACCTTTTATGCAACAAATTGGCTCTATTAGTGAACTTGTGTGGCACAAATGAGTTTGTAACATGCAGGTTGAACCAATTGATAGAGTAAGAGAATTACTAAAACCAAAAATTAAAAATACTAAATTAAGATAGCAGCAGTGTCAATATCTCACAAATGGAGACCCAGAACAGTAGCTTTTCAAACAATACTCTCTCATAGGTTCCTAAATTGGGAACCTAATCAAGAATGCTCTACCTCACACAAGAACACAAGAAAGGACGAAAGAATATAGAATGATATTCACATAACCAATGTTTGTACAGTGAGAACAGAGGCTTAACCCTCTTCACAGGTCAATACCTGTCAACAACTAACTCTCCAAAAGTCCCTCTCCCACTAACCAACCCTTTATTTATAACTACCTCATCCTCCCCCCTTAACTGTCGAACAATTAAATGATGACAGCTAACTCGCTCTCTTATTCCTTCTCTCATATACAATCCACCCCTGCTTCTTATTCTTATGCCTATCAATACCCTCCTCCTGAAGTCCAACCTTGTCCCCAAGGTTGAAGTCGAGGTATTGTTCCCTGATGGTCACTTCATCCTCCCAGGTTGCACCATCTGGGCCTCCCTCTTGCCACTCTATCAGCAACTGTGGCACTTCCTCTCCTCCTTGTTGCGTCTGCCTTTTGCCTAGCAAGCCCATTGGCCAAAACGATGACCCTTCCACTTGCAGATCCTGTGGTAGTTCCTTCTCCACTCCTTGTGCGCCTATAGCCTTTTCTAACTGTGACACGTGGAAGACGGGATGTATCCTCGCGGTCTCCGGCAGCTGCAGCTTGTATGCCACCTCCCCAACCTTCTGAATGATCTGATACGGTCCAAAATATCTAGCTGCCAATTTTGAATGAAGCCTAGTTGGCATTGAAGACTGCCTACGGGGTCTTATCTTCAAATAAACCCAATCTCCAACTTCAACATTTGCTAGTTTTCTTCTTTTATTTGCCTGACGCACCATCACTTCCTGTGCTCTCTCCAAATGGAACCTCAATTGTTTCAAGGCTTCATCTCGTGTCTGAAGCTCTTGACTTACGGCCTCTACCAGTGTTTCGCCTGGAATGAATCTTGTGTCTGAAGACTGTCATCCACCCTTTTGGCTGCTCCGAACAAAAGCATCTTAGATACCCTTCCAATACCTGATTCAAGCCCTTTGTTTGCCCATCTGTTTCGGGGTGGTAAGCGGTACTCATATTCAGCTTCGTCCCCTGACCCTTGAACAACTCCCTCCAGAAAATGCTCAGGAATAATGGATCCCGATCACTCACTATGGATTGGGGAATCCCATGCAACCGGATGACTTCCCTGATGAATACTTCCGCAACAGTCCTGGTTGAGTATGGATGCTTAAGGGGTAGGAAATGAGCGTACTTACTCAAGCGGTCCACTACCACCAATATAGCATCGTGCCCCTGCGATTTTGGTAGTCGCACTATGAAATCCATGCTTAATTCCTCCCATACTGCATTAGGAATTGGCAACGGTTGCAACAGCCCCTGAGGAGAAGAAGAGAGATATTTGTGTTGTTGGCACACAACACATCTGGCCACGAATTTTGTCACGTCTTTCTTCATTCCGGTCCAATACAAGGACTGGGCTATGCGCCTGTACGTTCGGTACACCCCGGAGTGGCCCCCAATCTGTGTTACATGGAATTCTGCTATCAACTTGGGAATCCACGTTGATTGTGCCGACAACACCAGCCTGCCTTTGTGGTGGAGCCTCTCGTGTTCCAGGGTGTAAGCGGGGTGGGTGTTAGGATCTCTCCTAATTTCCNACAAAAACTAACTCAATGTAATATATTTTGGTTTATTATTTTCCTTTGTGGGATGAAAGGTGAAACACGAAACTTCATAGGCCTTGGCATGTTGCGGACTATTTCATTAACTCTCAAATGCATTATTGTCCTAGATTTAAAGGTGATTTGGAACTTCAACAAGGTCTAACAGAATCTCTAACAAGCACGATGAAGAATAAGGATCAACAAACTTTGGGATACAATGTGGATATGTCCATGGACACTCTGAAGTTTGAAAACATTACACATTACCTTATATATACATCTTGAGCCTGTTCTTACCAAAGTTTTTGTGAGAAAGATTTCCTAAACCACTATTTGACTGATTGTCCTAATAACCACAGAAATAATTCTTCAAGAAAAATTACTCTTTCCATGAAAACCAAAACATGATTTAATCTCAAAGATGCAAGGCTTACTAACTTGTCAGAATAACTTTCTATGATATAAAACTTGAAGAGCATACCAAAACACCAGCAGCCATATCCCATGGCTTTAGACGATATTCCCAATAAGCTTCTACAATTCCTAATGCTACATGACACATGTCCACAGCAGCTGCACCAAGCCGTCTTACACCCTGAATATCAAAGTCAAGAAATTGAAGTGGAATGCAGAGAAATGAGGTGCAGTTCAATAGATTTCAGATGGATACCCTGCTGACATCTGTAAATTCTTTGAATAAGTCAATGTTAGTAGCCCATGCATCATCATGATCATACCCAAAGCCTGTCACTAGAAGAGATTTTTCCACCTAAGACAAGGGGAGAAGATTAGTTATACAACAATCATGAAGCACCATACAAATAGTATTTCAGATTGTTCCATTAAGGGTTGAAATCACGTTGACCCATGATCGTTGTTCACTTTCCGTATTCAACATCATTTTTTCATTAATCACCTGATTAGTTGCGCTCACTTGAATCCTTTGGCCATTACAAAATGCTCCACCACCTAGAAGAAAACTATATCAGCAGAAAAAATTAAAACCATCGAAAAAAACTAGCATAATCCTTTCTGTTGAAAATATGTCAGAAATTAGTAAATAAAATATATTGTAATAAATATAGAATATAGGCACATTATCTTTAATTTAGAGGAAACAGTATATCCTCCATTTATGTATTTATTTCTATATATCTATCCTACAGTTATCAGACATAAGGTTTCACTCTGTCTCTTTTCTTTACTCTTAATAAAAAATAAAAGTATTAAACTTGATTTTTATTAAAGGACTGATGGAAGTTAGGAAAATTCTTCACCTGCAGTTGCAGAGAAGAGGCGAGTATTCCAACACATTGGACCTCCTACAAACTCAACCTGAAAACAAAAAACCATCACGAGTTGGCATATCTTCTCTTATCCAATATTGTTAAACTCGAGTTTAGCTACTTGCCGAGTTTTCTTGAACTCGACTTATAAGCTTCACTCAAACACATAAGAGTTTACTTTATAAAAAGTGATAATAATGTTAAGGTATAGACGTATAAGACACAAGTCTTAATCCTAATATCAAGCCTAGAACACTCATGTTTTGATAATAACAAATAAGTGTTTAAAAATTAACTTGAGTGTGAAAATAGGTATTAAAAATAGTCTAGACAAGCATGAGATGCTCGGTTACAAAGCATAGATGAAGAGCTTGAATTATGAACAAAACTGCTAGATGCAAGTCAAGACAAGATAGTCTTCATTCCAAGACACTACAAAAAGCTAAAACACAGTCCCTATGTCTAAGACTCAACATGCTCAAAGTGCTAGACGAGCAACATTGGATGAAGACTTTTGAGACATAAGATGAAGACAACAACTAGACACGATCAACAAAGTCTAAGTGAAGTGCAATTGCTTTGAACCTTGGATGCATCTTACACGTTTTCAACATAAGACACGTTACAAAATGCATGTCTAAGAGTTGTAAAAATGGTGAACCAACCTTTAGGGTTACAGATTAAGGCGGGTGCCTTGCCCTTTCTTGGAATTCTATAAATACCTAAGTAAAAGGATAAGTGTAAGGATAACATACATTGTTTTACTTAATTACATTTATTCAAGTTGGTATAAAGAGCTAGACCGTCTGTCATCAACACCATCATCCTTTGTCGTTTCTGTCCACCAACAATGTCCACAGTCGTATCTCCTCCGGCGAAGTCAAGGTTAGGTGTGCCTCGAGAAGTGCAACCCATCCCCAGTAGTCTCCGCCTCAAATTATGTTAGATGCGCCGCCATGCGCTAGCCAGGTTGAGGAGCGTATCCGCCACACATCGCCTTCCCGGTGCCAGAATCACACCAAATCGTTGTCGTTCGTCTTGGCGAAGCCTCTTGGACGTGTTTTTGTCCTTGTCCTTCTCTTTCGGTGGTCGTAGCTCTCACCTAGGGTTTCCCTCTCAAAGCTAGGGTTTTTTAGAATGGCTTCCTCTCTATCTACTACTCCTACTATTATCACTGCAAAGCTCAACTAGTCAAGGATACCAAAAATCGTCTAGAACAAGATGTCTCTACTATTCCAAATGAAGATAAATCTCAGCAACAGAAACCGAACTTTAAGTTATGTACTATTTTATGGCAATCTGTTGAGAAAAATGTCTTAGAAGTTTTGAAACCTTACAAGACATGCTTGTCTTTATGGAAAAGGGCATAAAACATTTTTTCTAATGACATACAACATCTCTCTGATGCAACTCAAAGAGTAGCCCCACTAAAAAAAAAACTTGATAAGTTTTACATGGTCCTAACTCTGAGAAGCCTAAACTCGGATTTTGATCATGTACGTGACCAAGTTTTAGCTAGTGATCAAATCCCTTCAATCGACAACTTAGATACTAGACTTCTTTGGGTGCCTACATTATTAAAAGATGAAAATTTAACTAATGTTATTGAAACATATGCAATGATAGCACCACGAGTAAGAGGAGGAGGTCATAGGAACTGAGGAGGACGTGGTGGTCAAAGTGGGCGTCCTTAATGCTCATATTGTTAAAGAATGAGTCATACCCAAAAAAATGTTATTCTTGGCATGGTTTTCTAAATAAAGTTGCTCATGTGTCTAAATCTAACAATTCAGAATCTAGAAATTTTGATGAAGAGTAGCAATAATGTTTGAGGTATAAGTCTGAAAACTCTACCAATCTTGGCCAATCCTCTTTAATGTCAAATGTGCCAACTACATGCATCTCTCAATCCGTGAAAGGTCATAGTCTATGGATTTTTTTATTCAGGTTCCTCAAACCATGTTTCTAGTAACATTTCTTCATTTTTCTCCATTTCCTCTCTAAAAATTCCTCCTTTTATTACTGTTGCCAATCGATCCAAAGTGGCATCTCAAGGAATTGGCAAAGTCTTTACATCCTTCACTAAATTTAAATTCTATTTTGTACATTCCTCATGATCCTTACAATTTAATCTCTTTGAGCCAATTGCTTCTTCCTTAAACTATTTTGTAACCTTTACTGTTAATTCCTTTGCTATACAGGAACATAGTATGAGTCGTCTGATTGGAGAAGGACATGAGTAACAAGGACTTAATTTCCCAAAACTAAGCTCCTCATTATCTTGTTTTGCAACTTCATCCCTAAAACTTTTGCATGACCATTTGGGCCAAGCAAGTTTGACTAAGTTGAAGATGATGGTTACATACAAGTCTCAAATACATTCAAGCCTTAGATTGTGAGTCTTGTCAGTTAGGAAAGCATGTTAGATCTTCCTTTGCTAAAAAGTTTGAGAAACAATGTAATTCTATTTTTTCTACTATTCATTCTGATATTTAGAGACCACGTCGTGTCATTTCTTTGCTTTTAATTATTTTATAAGCCTGGTTGATGAATTCTCTCGATGTACTCAAGGTTTATTTAGTGAAAGAGAGATTTGAACTTTTATCCAAATTGATGTCTTTTTTTAATGAAATTAAGATCCAATTTGGGAAGACAATTAAAATGCTCTGAAGTGATAATGCTATGGAATATTTTTCTGCTGCGTTTTCTTCATTCTTATCTTTCTAAGGAATTTTACACCAGTCAACATGTCCTCATACTCCACAACAAAATGGCATAAAGAGAAAGAATATACATCTTATTGAAACTACATGCTCACTAATGTTGAATACTAATGTTCTTGTTCATCACTGGGGAGATGCAGTCCTCACTACCTATTTTCTAATCAATAGGACACCTTCTCTTGAAAATAAAGTTCCTCACTTTATAATTTGTTCAAATGATCTTTATACCATGTCTCTCCATGTGTGTTTGGGTGTACTTGTTTTGTTCATAATGTCTCTCCGGGTCTGACAAGCTTTATGCAAAGGCTATTAAGTGTGTCTTTTTGGGATATTCTCATCTTCAAAAAGCATATAAATGTTATTCTCCCTCAACCACAAAATATTGTGTTCCTTGGAGTGAACATTGTATCCTAGGAAAGTAAGAAACAAATTGTTGTTGCTCGATCTAGTGTAGAAGTTGAATATCAATCTATGGCCCTAGCTACATGTGAACTTGGGTGGAATAAACAACTCCTTCAGGAGTTGAAATTTTGTGAAAATGAGCAGATGAAATTGTATTGTGACAACCAACTAAGCTCTTTGTATTGTCTTTAATCCGGTGTATCATGAAAGAACATAACATCTAGAGATTGGTTGTCATTTTGTTAGAGAAAAGTTGTTGCCCAAGAGTCTTACTACTGAGTTTGTCAACTCTAATGAATAACTCACAGACATTCTAACTAAATCTCTAAAGGAACCTAAAATTCAATTTATATGTTCTAAGCTTGGTGTATATGATCTATATACTCCAACTTGAGGGGAGTGTTGAAATGTAATGTTTTTATTTATTATTTTTCTAGTATGTGAACCCAACTTTGGGGTTAGGGTTTTAGGCAAGTGCCTTGCCTCTTCTTTGTATCCTATAAATACATCAATAAAAGTCTAGCAGTGTAAGTTGAATACATTGTATTTTTCCCATCTCATTTATCTAAGTGCCATGTCAAACGATCTTCCGTTTTGCTCACATAGATAAAACCAATGAATTGTGGGTCTATTTATGCTAAGCTTTGCCAACTTCACCTTCACATCTTTCATTGCATTCTTTGTAATTCCCTGTAAGTGACAACTCTCATCACCTACCCTACTTGGTTGATTCCATCAAATAGGGGAGCTCGACCCTTCTTGCTACCATCAATATTCTTCTATGTCGACACTTAATGAACCTCCTTCTTGTGATAACTACCTTTCCAACCATTGCTTCACTCATTGATCATTTCTAAGAATAGAGATTGTGGGAATTCTGCAATCAAGAGTTTAATTGAATCTGCCAATGCAATAACCTTTTATGCAACAAATTGGCTCTATTAGTGAACTTGTGTGGCACAAATGAGTTTGTAACATGCAGGTTGAACCAATTGATAGAGTAAGAGAATTACTAAAACCAAAAATTAAAAATACTAAATTAAGATAGCAGCAGTGTCAATATCTCACAAATGGAGACCCAGAACAGTAGCTTTTCAAACAATACTCTCTCATAGGTTCCTAAATTGGGAACCTAATCAAGAATGCTCTACCTCACACAAGAACACAAGAAAGGACGAAAGAATATAGAATGATATTCACATAACCAATGTTTGTACAGTGAGAACAGAGGCTTAACCCTCTTCACAGGTCAATACCTGTCAACAACTAACTCTCCAAAAGTCCCTCTCCCACTAACCAACCCTTTATTTATAACTACCTCATCCTCCCCCCTTAACTGTCGAACAATTAAATGATGACAGCTAACTCGCTCTCTTATTCCTTCTCTCATATACAATCCACCCCTGCTTCTTATTCTTATGCCTATCAATACCCTCCTCCTGAAGTCCAACCTTGTCCCCAAGGTTGAAGTCGAGGTATTGTTCCCTGATGGTCACTTCATCCTCCCAGGTTGCACCATCTGGGCCTCCCTCTTGCCACTCTATCAGCAACTGTGGCACTTCCTCTCCTCCTTGTTGCGTCTGCCTTTTGCCTAGCAAGCCCATTGGCCAAAACGATGACCCTTCCACTTGCAGATCCTGTGGTAGTTCCTTCTCCACTCCTTGTGCGCCTATAGCCTTTTCTAACTGTGACACGTGGAAGACGGGATGTATCCTCGCGGTCTCCGGCAGCTGCAGCTTGTATGCCACCTCCCCAACCTTCTGAATGATCTGATACGGTCCAAAATATCTAGCTGCCAATTTTGAATGAAGCCTAGTTGGCATTGAAGACTGCCTACGGGGTCTTATCTTCAAATAAACCCAATCTCCAACTTCAACATTTGCTAGTTTTCTTCTTTTATTTGCCTGACGCACCATCACTTCCT